CCTATATTGGGCTCGTTAGTTTTCAATGATTCAGTTATGCTTTCTTTGGTATATGTTACTTCATAATCCGATTTTCATTAAAATAAAATAAATAAATAAAGGTTTCTTCAAGACTTAACCACAAATTAAATTGGAGAATGAGCTTCATGAACCAAGAGATATGTCGATCAAATCATATTCCTTTTCGGTAAAAGTTTTGTGGTCATGTTTCAAGGTGATGGATTGCTAGAGGTAAAAGTTCTATGTTAAGTTCTTAACTAAAGAATTTTGTCATCTATTTCAGCTTATGGTACAAGGAATCAATAAATTAAACAAACTAGTTAACTTGTCTACGCCTTGCGTAGACTATATATGTTTACCAATTGTAATTTTATAAATAAATAAATTTAAAAACATTAATTTTTTGTTATCTCTATTCTAAGTTAAACGAATCCGAAATTTACAAATAAGCTTTTAATTTTAACAAAAGGATTAAAAAATCTTTCTGAAATATAAAAATAAGAAATTGAAAATTCTACTCTATATATCATAATTAATAACATTTCATTAGACATATAGATTTCATTTATTTAATTTTTTTCTTAGATTTTTACTAAATTTTACTTTTATAAAAATTATAAAAATTGAAAACCCTATAAACATCAGAAATCGTAAACACTATAATAATTAGCGATATTCTAGCATAAATTTTTTTTTTTTTTTGAAACGACATTCTAATTTATTCCAATTTTGTTTCTTTTAACATTTTAGTTAGATTTTTTTTCTAAATTTTGGAAACATAAGAAATGATAAATTTCTAGTTTTTTGTGTTTAAAAAAAAAAACGTTTTTGTCTAATTTTTTCTAAATTTCGGTTTAATATAAATTTAAAAACGGTTTGAATGAAAAAGAAGGAAAAGATTTAACAATTGTGAAAGTTGTGAGAGAAGTAGTGAAAAGTGGCTTATATCTATACTAAATTTTAGTTAACATTTTAGTTAGATTTTTTTATTATTTCAAAAATATTAGAAATAGTAAATTTCTTTTTTTTATTTTAGAAAAACTTTTTTGAAGACATTAGAAATGGTAAAATTTCGTTTTTTTATTTTTTTTTAAATAAAAACGTTTTTAATTTTTTTTGTCTAAATTTTGGTTTAATCTTATTTAATAAACGGTTTGATTGCATACAGAATTAAGCATTTAACCATAATAATTTAGACTGGTTTGTTTTAAGTTTTTTTTACACGTCATCAGATGAGAACCAATTAAAAAATGACATGTAATTAGAAAATAGGGTTAAACGGTCTTTTGCGGCAGAAACTCATTCTGGAGCTGACACGTAAGCGAAAAGCTGTGACCGCGACACGTAAGCAAATCACTACACAAATAAGTATATAGAAATCGTAAACACTATAATAATTAGCGATATTCTAGCATAAATTTTGTTTTTTTTTATTTTGAAACGACATTCTAAATTTTATTCTAATTTTTGTTTCTTTTAACATTTTAGTTAGATATTTTTCTAAATTTCGGAAACATAAGAAATGATAAATTTCTAGATTTTTGTGTTTTAAAACGTTTTTGTCTATTTTTTTCTAAATTTTGGTTTAATATAAATTTTAAAAACGGTTTGAATGAAAAAAGAAAGAAGAGGTTTAACAATTGTGAAAGTTGTGAGAGAAGTAGTGAAAGGTGGCTTATATTTATACTAAAATTTAGTTAACATTTTAGTTAGATTTTTTTATTATTTCGAAAATATTAGAAATGGTAATTTTTTTTTTATTTTAGAAAAACGGTTTTGAAGACATTAGAAATGGTAAAATTTTGTTTTTTTTAAAAAAAAAATTTAAAATAAAAACGCTTTTAATTTTTTTTGCCTAAATTTTGGTTTAATCTTATTTAAAATAGGACTCGCTGATACGTAAGCGAAACTCATTCTGAAACAGATACGTAAGCGAAAAGCGATGAAACTCGCTGTGTGCACGACACGTAAGCAAATCACTATACAAATAAGTATATAGATCCTAATGATCGTGAATGTTACCCAAAAAAAAATGAATTAAAACAAAAACAGAAAAAAAAATAACCGTAACAACAGAAATAGTACGATTTGGAGGATAGACTGGAAAAAGTCTTGATTCTACCTAAACCGAACAAACCGAACCAATCACAAACGATTCTCTTCGTTAAGTTCTGGTACATGACAACCAATTAACGGTCCAGTTTTGCAAAAGGAAAACATTAATCTTGTAGAGGAAATAACTAATTGACCAGTCAACTAACAGTTATGAAAGAATCAATGAAAAAACTCGACCATTAATTGGTTGTATTGTGGTGGAATAAGATGTCACAAACCAATTTTTAGTAAGTGAGCTATTTTATGTGAATGTGATATGAAACTTTGGGTATAACAAATATATTTAGATCTTCAACAAGTATCTGAACCAATTCATCAAACTTCATGTCATCTCCACAAATGCATTTTTTCAATTAAAAAATAGTTTTTTTTTTATTTCTTCTGATTCATCACCAAACTCTATGATTCCTTCCTCATCATCCAATCTCCAAAAACTCCAAAATCTGCAACATTCTTAAGAACAAAGCTCACGTTGTTTTTTTTTTCTTCTAAACTCTTTCACACGAGATAGTTCTATCTATTCATCAAACTTTCCTATAACTGAATCTAAAGAATATATCTCATCACTTAAATTATCGGATCCATGATAGAAATATATTAGGATTTAATTAGTATAATATCTATTTTATAAACTTAAGATTACCCACGTAGGATAGATTTTAAAATTTTAAACCTTTTTTTAAGTTTCAAAGCACAAAATACAAAGTATGATTGATTTTTTACATCCATATTTTTATTCATTTAAAGTTTAATCGTAAATAATATAATTAGATTTTAAAACAATTCATATGTTTGATTTATCTTGGATATTTTATTAATTTTAGATGCCAAAAAGTTAGTTTTCAAAGTCTTTCAAATATAGGTTAGTTTTTAAAATATATAAAAATTTTGGAATATAAACTATATCTCCCAAAACTTTTCCTATAATTAAAAAGCACAATTATCAATTTTTCGTAGTGGATCAGAATAGAATAGGATATCATATACTAATTTGTGCGATCTTAGAGCATTTATCATTTACGAAAACTAAACTGTGAAAGAGAGAATTTCTAGCGGTCAAATCTTCTTCAAAAATATGACATTATCATATTATTTTGAAAGCAATAGCTAGTTCCTTAAAAAAAAATATAGAACATCTTTAAAAACATAAATCAAATTTAAAAATCTATTTTAGGTTTTTCTGTTTTTAATGGCTATATATAAAGGCTTCAAGCATGAGGTAAAGCCCATATGGGGTCAATTTTGCTTTGTATTTATGGGCATTAGGTTTTAATAATCTGCATCGATAAGTCACAGAATTATAGTCAAACATTTGGGCAACAAGTGAATCATGTTGCTGACTTTGCGCTATGGAAGGATTATCACGTAAACTTGTCTCAGAAGCCTTTGGAGTTTATGCTGATATATACATATGTGCAGGCTACAAACCCGGTGAACCAAACTGGCAGAGCCCTTGGGGTCTAGGGGGACCAGGATATCACATTGGGTGCATCGTAATGAGCATCCGTTATTCAAAAATATGACATTATCATATTATTTTGAAAGCAATAGCTAGTTCCTTAAAAAAAATATAGAACATCTTTAAAAACATAAATCAAATTTAAAAATCTATTTTAGGTTTTTCTGTTTTTAATGGCTATATATATAAAGGCTTCAAGCATGAGGTGAAGCCCATATGGGGTCAATTTTGCTTTGTATTTATGGGCATTAGGTTTTAATAATCTGCATCGATAAGTCACAGAATTATAGTCAAACATTTGGGCAACAAGTGAATCATGTTGCTGACTTTGCGCTATGGAAGGATTATCACGTAAACTTGTCTCAGAAGCCTTTGGAGTTTATGCTGATATATACATATGTGCAGGCTACAAACCCGGTGAACCAAACTGGCAGAGCCCTTGGGGTCTAGGGGGACCAGGATACCACATTGGGTGCATCGTAATGAGCATTCGTTATTTGACTCCCAGATTTGATATTTTTGCTGGTAGCAAATATCTAAACTTCCCGCACCATGAAAATGTGATCGCAACATGTGCTGCTTGTGCAGATGGTGGCGTGACTTACTGGTTGCATAATGAGGATTTCACTCAAAACGAAGTTGAGATGGGAAATTCACTGGCCAACTCTGTTACAATTAGACAAGTATGTTTCTTGTTTGTATTGTTCCATTATCATAAACTCTTTGGGTGTGTGTTTTCTCATGGCTAATGCAGTTTAGTTCACTTTGTGTAGATCATGGCTAAGTACCATACTGGCTCTGAGACACTTCTTGGTGAGTGCACACTACCAAGATCCTCTGAAATATTCAAATACATGTATCTGAAAACATTAACTTTCTCTCTCCCTCTCCCTCTTTCAATCTTTCTCTCTCCCTCTTTTCTTCTTCTCTCATCCTAAATTGTATATATTATACAGTTTAGAAAACTACATTTAAAGTTAGAAATTTTTTTATTCAAAAAAAAATTCAGAACACAAAACAGACAAACTAACAGAGATTTAATATCATGTACCTAGAAGCTTTACCTGACTCTCATTTTTCTCTTTCTCTCTTCCTCCCTGTCTCTCTATCTTTTTCTCATTCTCTCTCCATCTACATATCCCTGAAAGCAATGTTTTTAAAACCGGACCGGTAACCGAACCGGAAAATTTTTTGGGTCATGGGTTAATATGGTTTAACTGGGTTCAACCAGATTCAACCGGTTTAATGATATTTTACAGCCTCTAATTAATTGAATATTAAATAAAATTCTTTAATATTTAAGAAAACATTCATAAAATAAATCCAAAACAACACCAAAATAAAATGGAGTAGCATTAGCAATAATTTTTAAAAAACTTCAATTGTCTAAACAAAAAACAGCACCAAATAAAATAGAGTAGCACATTCAATCTTCCTTGTCCAAATCTTCATCACCTTGAACAAACAAAAAAGCAAAATACATATTAATCAAATGTTTTAAATTTTGAATTATAGAATGAAAAAAGTAATAAAAAAAAAAACTATTCACCATCTTTAGGATATTCTTCAAGAAGTTTATCTTCTAACTCTGAATAATCAAGCTCCCCTTCTTCTTCTTCTTCCACAATCCAAAACTCAGTTTTATCGATAGACTCGTAATCAACTGGATCATATGATCTACTTCTCTTTGATCTACACATAAAGACAAGAAACTATATATTAATAAATATGCATAAAAAATCTATCACACTCTACAAATAACAAACCTGTTTTGTAGACGTAAATTATAATGAACATAGACAAGATCATTGAGCCTTTGATGCTCCAGTCTATTTCTCTTTTTGGTGTGAATGCGTTCAAACACACTCCAGTTCCTCTCACATCCAGATGAAGAAGCTGTTTGACTAAGAATTCGGACTGCGAGCTTTTGCAAATCAGGAATATCACAACCAAATAATTTCCACCATTCATCTACAAATACAACAAGAAAAAAAATATTCCATGTAATTAAACATCTTAAAAGTTAGAGAAAAACATAATATATTAACATAACATAATATCACTAACCTGGTCGAGTAGTTTTGCTACAAGTAAGTGCCATCTCCCGAGAAAACTTCCTTCTCGATCTCTATAGCGGCCAATAGTAGCTACTAGTTTTGTTTCACTTAAACCACCATTCAAATTTAGCATTCCACTTGTAATCTCAGGCTTGTCACTAAATTTCTTTGTATCATACAAGAAAGCTGGATTCAAAAAGTAAGCGGCAGCGTAAATATCACGACGTAACATCTTATCCCACCTATTGTTAATGATCCTCGTATAAGGCCTGTAAAGATCTTTTTTTTTTATCGAATATCTTCTTGATACCTAACCGTGCCCTATACATCCCTTCATATACATAAGGCAAAGATGGTTTCTCATCAGAATCACAAATACGCAGCAAACGGATCAAAGGAGACATAATCTGCACAATCATAAAACACCCATTCCAAAAGTCTTCATCAAAAATAAGTTGTTTCACACGCTTTGCTTTCTCTGATCTCGATATTTTTCTGAACTCCTCATCAACCACCATACTCTGCAAATCATCCTTATGAGCGTACAAACTCTGCAAAGCTATGAAATTTGTAGCAAAACGAGTGTCTGCAGGACGAATTATCTCTCTCCACCCTGGTCTGTTTCTTAACCAATTCAAGATATGCTTATGGTTATACGCAAACACAGTTATCTTTGATGCAGAACTGGTTAGCTTCTCCACCTGAGGTAGTTCTCCCATATCTTGAAATATCGAATTAATACAGTGGGCTGCACATGGCGACCAATATATGGCAGGATATCTTTCTACAAGATTAGCACCAGCAGCTTTGTAGTTAGGTGCACTATCTGTCACCATATGGACCACATTTTGGGGGCCAATAATCTCCACAACGTCAGCAAATAGGTTACACAAATTCTCTGCATTTGTATATATTCCAGAAGCATCTACTGATTTGATGAAAGTTATCCCTTTAGGACAGTAGACCAGACAATTGATTAATGGTCTTTGCCTTGTATCTTTCCATCCATCAGCCATCAAAGTACAACCAGTATCAGCCCATGTACTCCTAACAGAGTCAATAATTAAAGAAACTTGCAGTTTAGCATCACGTAGTAAACGAACACGTAAATCATGATATGAAGGTCCAATGTAACCATGACCCATGCTTGCAATTTTGCTGATCATAGGCTGATAAAACCTAGAATTCACTGCATTCATGGGCATACACACGTCATAAAATACAAAGCAACTGCCATATCAGCATCATGAATCTTTTCCTTGCTTTGCAGACATGACTTTATGGTAGGTTGCACCTGATCTTCTAAACCCCTTTTAAAGTATGAGTTTATATCGGTACTACCATTTCTTTTCCGACTCAAAGGCACAGAACCTTGATGAGAAACTTGACCATCATCTACATCATGAAATTGTCTCATAACATTAACCCCTCTTTTCTCTTTTGCTCTATCCTCGTTTTCTTTTTAGTGACGTTCTCATTGCGTATTGAACTTCTGGAGGAACCTTCTTGCATGCATTGGTACTTCCTTTCTGTCCAGCTAAATGTTGTTTCATTCTATTGATTCCACCTCCCTGGTTTTTCTTACCACAAAAGTCACAAGTAAAAGTACTTTTTCCAAGTGAATCTACAGTTTGAGTGACATATGCCCAAGCCGCATCGTATTTTTGACGAACAGAACGTTGTGAAGGCAATTGAGATTCTGTGTATGTATCTGATGGAAGTGTCGCATCTGAATCATTCTCTTCCATTATTGAATTCACTACAAACAAAAATAAAGCAATTAAAAAATTGATTACGTCAAAGCACACCAAGTGGTAGTTTATACTTTATATAATAGATACTAAAAGACTAAAACTAACTAAACTCAACAAACTACTCAATAATTTAATGATTGTAAAACGTAGTAGTGATCGTTCTATGCTTTGATCGAAATTGAAACACTTTACTTTGATTTTGAACTGTAAACGTAGTAAGGCGGTGGTAAGTTGCAGAGAGAAAGGTAGAAAGCTGTAAACTTAGAAACCCTATATCAAATAACGAAGGTAAAAAGACGTAAAAAATATAAAAAAAATGATTTAAGTTATTTTCTTTGAACCGGTTTTATGCGGTTTGACGGTTCGGCCGGTTTCCAGTTTTTTAGCGGTTCAATATGGTTTTTAACCGGTCTAATCTTATATGGGTTTTAGTATTAACCCAACCCGGTTATACTTCCAGTTCGCAGTTTAACCTGGTCGGACTGCCGGTCCGGTCCAGGTTTAAAAACATTGCCTGAAAGTAATCTCAATTCTATTTATCCCTCTTTCTCGTTCCATCTCTCTCTCTTCATTCTCTCTCCCCCTCTCTTCATTCTCGGTCTCCCTCTCTCCTTCTCTCTCTTGTCCTTAATTTTATATATAACAAATTTAAAGTACAAAGTGTTTCTTTGTAACCAAAATTCAGCAAAAAAAATTTGGCACTAACGATTAGATGAATTTACAGAAAACTAATATCAATCAATTATATGTACTAGAAAATTTTAACTCTTTCTCCCCCTTTCTCTTTCTCTTTATCCCTCCGTCCCTCCCTACCATTCTTTCTCTCTCTCTCTCTCTCTCTCTCTCTCTCTCTCTCTCTCTCTCTCTCTCTCTCTCTCTCTCCCTCTCTCTCCCTTTTTCCATATTTCGCTCCCCATATCTCTCATGTCTCTCTCATTCTTGCTCTCCATCTTTCCATCCTTTTTCCCTCAAAAATTGTATATATCGAGACATCTATATTTAAAGTATGAAGTAGATTAAACATAAAAAGTAGGAACAAATAAAAGACAAACTAACAAAGATTTTATATTAATCAATTACATGTCCACGAAGCTTTAACTCTGACTCCCTCGCTCAATCCCACTCTCCTTTCCTAGCACTCTTTTTATCTCTCTCTCTCTTTCTCCTCTCTCTCTCTCTCTCATTCTCGCCTTTCATCTCTTATTCCTTCCCTCATCCTAAATTGTATATCTGACCTACATTTAAAGTATGAAGTATTTCTCATCATTTCTCTCTCTCTCTCTCTCCCTTCTTCCCTCCTTCTCCATCCCTCCTTATATTTCCTTCTCTCTCTCCCTGTTTTTTTTCTCTTCCTCTCTTTCTCCCTCTGTATTTCTTTCTTTCTTTCCCTCTCTCTCTCCGACCTTCCCTTTTTCTCTCCCTCTCTTTTTCTCTTTCTCTCCCCTTCTCTTTCTCAAACCTGGCCTCCCTCGCTTTCTCTCTCTCCAACCCCTCTCTCTCTCCAACCCCTCTCTCTCCTCTCTTTCTATTGGTCGCCCTCTCTATGTGCATCTACATAGTTTGGGTTAATCCAATTATTCTACTCTTCTTTCTGATGATGTTTTAATATAGTATAAGCTTATTTGGTTGTGCTTACAACTTTGATTTTAATTACCTCATACATGAGGATTTTTCTTTGCTAAAATTGTCAACTCACAAACTATCTCACTGAGAGGGGAAGTAAAAAGAATATACATAGAGGAATATCTTAAAAAAAAAAAAATGATTTAACTTATTACCTAAGTAGAATAATTTATTGATCAAGGTAATTCAGACGCAATACTCGACTAAACGTCCTTCTATACCGTTTAACAAATCTTGACATAATTTAAAACATCTAATTACTCTCAAAATTTGACTTTATATTTAATATTGATGGTATTTTGTACTTGGTGATCCTCCACCATTCACTTTTCTCTTCTATGTGGGATAATAATTCATTCACCATGTTGTTCATTTCCTCATAACTTGAAATTTCTTTTTTCTACCATACATTTTGGTTACATTGGGCGGGCCAAAGAATTTCAAAAACATAATACAAAATTTTAATAATCATGAGCCACTTAATAATCATCTTGAGATTAATAAAGTGGCGAGTGCAGTGATCTTCTATAATCTATATACATTTAAATAAAACAATCTTGTGGTTTTTTTTTTGCTTTGTGTTTCCTTTTAATAATAGTTGGAACATGCATATATTAACAAATCATCTGTCTGTCTGTTTATAGGTTCAAAGATGTGCAGAACACACTTCCATACAATCAAAACATATGAAAGAACAGAACCACATATTAACCCACACTTCACTTCCCATTACACCCCACCATCTTGTTTGTGACAACATTCCTAACGTGAGAACACCACAAAAGATGTGGTCTACTTAAATTTTCACTTACTAATTAACAGATTCACAAATATTCTCTTCAGGAATTAAGGAGGGGAAAAAGGCCGATTAGTACCTCAACACCATCATCTGGTACCAATAAATACCCAAACAATTTTGATAGGTTAATCAGTACCTGAACTTAGGAAAATCGGTGAATAAATACCTCAACATATTTCTGGGGCCAATAA